TGTTTTTTATACCGTAGTTACTTTTAGAGTTTCTTTATAAAACTGAAGGATTTTTGTTCTTAAAGAAACATTTTCCCCTGAAGAGGGGCCTACCAGTAAATCTTTCATAACAGTTCATGACATAGTTAAATATAAATATGCAATCAACATCCATCACTGTTACTGTACATTACAAAAGCCTCTTTTTCCCCTAAACTTTCTTAAAATAAAAGTCACCTTTAACTGTAAGCTAGTGTGGAAAAAAAGCTTTGACAGCATAGTGTTGTATTGATAATTTTGCACAATGTTCAGCAATCATCACAGTGACTGAATCTTTAGGTCACCCAGCAGAAGTAGAGAAAATATCACAATCAATATAATCTTTTTAGCAATTAAATAAAAATAATAATAAAAGCCTCTTCGTAAAGATTAGTCCACTGATCATGATTGTAAACTACACACCCTGTAACGGAATCTCACTTTGAGACATTAACTACAGCATCCAAGTTTGGTCATGAAACAGCAACATCCTACCGTTAAATACTCATTTACATCAAACATGCGGGTACAAATGATGCCAGTCGACATCAGCCATCAAGTCTAAACAGCAACATTTGCTTGTTAAAGTTATTAAATCTGGTTGTTTTCCCATTTAAAGACAAACAACTACATTTAGCCTTGTTAGCTCAAGACCTGCTTCAGAGATTGGATTCTAATTTAAAACATCATTTGTTGAATTGACTCCTTGTTGTTCGTTAAATTTAAATGTTATTTTGCAACTGTTTAAAAAAAACAAAAAAAAAACAGATGTTGCTTGACAAGAAACATATTTGTGCATTTGAAAAACAAAACGGTACGGCATAATTTTGTTTCTGCTGTTTTCTAACAAAACAAAAACAATTAGTCATATATATATATATATATATGTATATATGAGTTTTGTTTTCATGAACCAGTTTGGTACAAATGACTTGACTTATAGATTATGTCTACAATATTGAAAGATGTTGCTGTGGTGATGTAGTTAAGTAAAATAAAGAAAAAACAGAAACCAGCTATTAAAAAAAAATTATATCAGTGCTCGTGGACCTAAAACATTCTAACAACAGCATGTTTTTTAACACACGTAGCCTAAGAGCTTTCAATATTATTGTGTATTGTAAACAGCGAAGATTTTCCTCTCCTAACAACCACAGATTAAAAAAAAAAAAAAAAACTAGCATTTTGCCCCAAAACAAGAACATAACACCTAGAAAGTCTTGGTATGCCTACACTAAGGCAATACCAGCCTCTTAGTCAATACTTTAAATCGTGAACTCTGAATTCAGAAAGCCACAGTCGCCAGGGCCAACAGGTCCATTACTTATGCACAGTTAAAATTAGGACATTGATAATTTTGTATTTTCTCAATGCAACTGACTTGATTGTATGATTTAACAGCTTACGTGCTCTAAAAACACAGAAGTCAGCTGCTGCTGCTGCCACCAGATTTAAAACACCGTGAACTTTATGCAGTGGACATGTTGCTAAAAGCTTTGCACGCATCTGCTGACCTTTCACAAACTTTGATCAACAACAAAGCTTTCATAAGGAGCAAAGCGCTTTCTTTGATATACCGAAGCCAAGCTTTGTAGTTCAATGATTCAAATGACGTGCTCGTGTTTCAGAGTCCTCCTCCTCCAAATGCTGCAGCGCACGGATGCCAAGCAGCGTACGAAGCCGACCATGCCTCACACTCAGCTCTGTCGAGGGTTTGTAAGATGCAGGGTGTAAATGCAGTGCAGTCTCATTCAAATGTTCCTGTATATTCCTATGAAACACAGAGAACGCCTGCATTTTCCCCTCATAGAAAAAAAAACGTAAGAAGAAAATGATTCAGACTAAATAACGTTCAGTCTTCAACCAGAAATATTTTGTTATAAAAACACAGGGAGGCATCTCAGTGGTTTGACAGTCACATATTTGTTTTAGAAACATTGTAGAGGTGGTAAGCAGCACATAGGAGTGGTGAAATATTCAATCTATGGACAATGAAAATAACACAAAACTATTTAGTTCCCCCAAACGAGGGAATGAGGACTCAGAATAACAGTAGTCATCTTCAGTGAATCATCAAGAGGTGAGCGTCAGCGGGTATTTTTAAAGAGGGATATTAATTTCTACTAGCTCACAAAATGTAAAATAATTCATCCCAAAGAAGGAAAAAAAAAACATGACGGGGGGGTGGGGGGTTAGCAGACCGGAGAAGCCCCTCAGTCCACCTGAATAAGAATGAGGCTTGTATTCACAGTAGCCTGTTCAAGATGATGAAAGCCTCATTTCCAGGCTGATACCGGCTGATTGAACTGTTCTACATGCATATTGTTGCAGTTTACAATTTCTGATGTCCACTTAGCTCCATGGTTGGGGCTTCTCTCAAGTGCTATGTATGAAGTGCACGTCCTTGACTGCTGATTTCTTTGTCCGAGTCCAGAAAAGTATCAACATCTAAAATCCTTTTGTCTGGGTTCAGCGATAATAAAAGATTTGTCTTTGAATGTCTTGTGTGCAGCAAAGAACACAAATTACTTCGGCTGCTTATTAAAGGTGCATGAGCCGAGTTCCACCAGTAACCCAAATGGTCAGAAATAATAAAAAAAGTCACTTGAGTTTCCTACGTGCTTTACCAAAAATGGCCCTCGGATAAATTTAAAGAACAATCCAGGTGTTGAGGATACTTGTGCAGAACACCAAGGTGATAATACAAACGTTGAGGCGTTTGTGATGCACTGAGATCCCTGTCTGCCACCCAGCAAAAAACAAAGAGTCTCAGTGAGAAGAGGTCCATCTGAGTCCAAAGCACAGAGAGCACACACGCATGCTGTTTTAGACACAGCCAGCGTGTTTGGGATCTTCATCAGATTCTTCAGATTGTCAGACAGAAAACTCAGAGCCACCACGGCGACCGTAGCTCAACAGCAACAAGCGCCGCAGACGCAATCCCGTGAAGGGATTACACCACAGAAGAGACGGTGGACCCCCAAACACAGATTTCATCCCGTCCCATCTCATGTGACGCTCCCACGTCGGCTTCTCGTTTTTTAGACGTTCAATCTCCTGCAAGATATTAAAGGTCAGTTTGATTAAAAAAAAACAAACAAAAAAAAAAAAAACGTGGCTTGCTTACAAATGACCTAAAACCTGTTAAAATAAAAGTAGCAGGATGCAGGGGATACTGACCGTCTCATCATTGCAGATGGAGTGAATCTGCGTGCCAAACATTACAGCTGTAAAAGTGAGAAAGAGGATGGCTTCGAGACAGAGGAAGATCAGGAGCAACACGGACACCCCTGGAGAGAAGTCACTGCACTCTGAACACACAGGGAGGAAGAAAGGACAATTTTTTAGTCTGCATCGAACAATTGATTGAAATATTAAGTAAATAAACCAAAAATGCATATAAAAAAGCTTGAAATTATTATTTTTTGTTGAGTTCAAAGAATTGTCATTGTCAGTTTAAGTCTAGTTAAGCTGTCAGAACTGATAATTCACAGAATAGAAACCTTTATTTCCATTTATCTGATGATGCAGCGCTCTTCCTTGCAGTGATTGTCGACAAACTGCAACTGCAAAGAGCTTTTTTTTCCCCTAGGTAAGAGGCTCATTCTGTACATTGCAGTAGAAGCGGGGCTTCTATGAATAAAATATTATCTTCATTCTTTGGTTCATTTCCACAGAGAGGCCCACTGGGGAGCAGAAGGATAAATGAAAGCTCTTTGTCGATTTGCCTGCACAGTTCCAATGATCTGTGCAGAAAACATTTTTCCTCACTTTACACCTTGTAGTTTTCCGTTTCTCTATAAAGAATGCCAACCACTTGTGTAAACAGCTGGATTTCTACATTTATGTTAACTATTGTTTTGTTACAGTAAATGCTTTAAAGTCTTACCGTTCCACTGGACCTTAATACATGTGAAGAAATGCATCCCGCTGAGGCCAAGAGCATGGGCAGAAATCAGTGCAATATACATCTATGGAGAAAAACCAAAAAGAGAGTGAGCGATATAATGCACAGTCATGTAGAGCTCTGACATTCATGCCTGTAGTCAAACTCTACACCCTAATGTACCTGTGTTTTTAGGGGTAACATCTTCAAATGAATGTGGAAAACAAGTGCAAACTATATTTTTCAATGGCAGGCGACCTTGCACTGCTCAGCTGTATATGGGAGCTTTATTTTTGTCTTCAAAGGTTCCAGTCAGCATTTGAAGCCATAAAAGAGTACTGATGTTATCAGGAGAGCCACAGATGGCAATGGGAGCACTTTAATGTAGGCCTGTTCCTGCTGTGCGCTACACCACTACTCAGCTGCTCTATAAAACTCAAGATGGAGAATTGCAAGTTCCGTTCTCCTGCATAACAAGAATGTCATTGTTGAAAATAAAATACGTACAGAGTTGAAAAAATAAGAGATGCATCTGTTATATTTATTAGTAACAATATGAGCAGGTTTATAAACTTCAAATACATTTTTTGTCACGGTCAAGGTTTCTTTATCATCATTCTCATCACATGTGGTGGAACGAAATTGTGTACACAGGGTCCCAGTTACATCCAACAAAAGTATAAATTGTAAAGAAAAAACAGTAATAAGATCTAAGATATGAACTAAGAAATACGCTAAACTAAGAATACGTTAAGCACTAATAGTACAAAAACAATACGCCGAACAACAGCAGCATGAACATGAGTCTGTAAGAGACTTCCTTTCATGACGACTTTGGTGTACTTACAGTAAAAAGCACAAAGTATCTCTGATTCTTTTCACCCACGCAGTTATTGACCCAGGGACAGTGATGGTCCATCTTCCGGATGCACCGTTTACAAATACTGCAGGAACAAGAGACATTATAGGTATAGGTTCTAGAACTGCGCGGAGCAGCTCTGTTACTTTCATTATGAGATTTTCCTTTTGGAAACTTTAATTCCTATTTTTTCTGGATGTAAATCACATTTTTTGGATGATTGTTTCCTCTGGTGTCAGATGCTGTGCAGCTGGAAGGATTTTTACTGAAACTTTTTTAGTTTAAGATATTTGTTATGATGCGTAACCATGGCAACAAGGCAGTTTTCTACAACCAACAGCAGCTGATTAACATCTCAAAAGCTCAAATAATCTCAGCTACAGCCCCAAATCACAAAT